ATTTCTAGAGTATGAGTCAACAAGGCTATATCCCTCAAACTTAAAAAAGTGAATATCCTCCTCACGCCTTTGATGAGTAGGCCTATATCAAATTGTCCAGGATTTCTCGCTTTTTTCCATTGAAATAGTTGCACCAACCCAAGTATCGTCTACAGATGCAATACGCCAAAGAATATCATCTACGTGTAACACGCCTACGTACAATCTCCAAGAAGTGGTTTAAAAAAGTCAGAAACCAGCCCCATACAATAGACATAAGTTAACTCCATAAGAAATAATTTTAAGAGTTACTGTGATATTAGGATTTTCCACTGATTTGGTAATAGAACATTATATTGCAAAACATGACACGATGCAGAAGAAAATCGATTCCGGTTCTAAAATCAGAAAAAAACCCATTGCAAATACTTCATTTTGACAAATTCAGTAAATCACAATTTAAATATTAACAGCTGTTTCATTAAAATGTATTGTAAAATTATACATATGGTCATAATGTAAACAAATCTGCTGAGGGGACTTTAAAAGCCCCTGGGGCAGAGCCCCAAGGGAATTTACCTCGTTTCTCTTTTGATGGCTCATCTACAGACCAAGACCTTTCTTTTGAGACCCCTACCAAGTTTTTCCGCCCAGCCGTTCTCTGAAATTACCTGTGACAAAAAACCCGTTTTCCCCCCATAAGAATAACATGGGATGGGAATTTAAAGGCCACTGGGGCAGAGCCCCAAGGGAATTTACCACGTTTCTCTTTTGATGGCTAATCTACAGACCAAGCCCTTTATTTAGACACCTCTACCGAGTTTCTACGCCCAGCCGTTCTCTCAAATTAGCTGTCACAAAGAAAAACAGTTTCAAATTAATATATAGATTGTTATTTATTCTAATAGTTTATTTATTATTGTTACTGTTGAATTTTTACAGATATTTGTGTCTTTGTTGTCTTTTTTTTATATTAATTACTCAAGAGACAATTAAGGACTCATAAAACTGCATGCTACTGATTCAAACTGACAAAACTGTATGGTAAATAAGAAACAATATTTTTAGTGCAGACAAACCATTTTAGTCCAGCTATAGGGGGTTGAGTATGCACTGAAAGTGTAACTCTTTTTGACTTTTAATTGTTGTTGGGGGCATCTTAGAGATGACAAAAACCGATGTTGTCGCCCTCCCAGCAGGTGCACAACTTGGGGGGAGGGGGGGAAGGTGCTCCGAGACGCGTTCTATAAAATCGCTTATATCTCGTGAACTAGACACGATAGAAACAAGCTCTAAACGGCATTGTATTACCAACTTATCTGCTTAACCAACGTAGCTGTCCGGTGTGCAAGGCATTTAGTAATGTCCTTGACGGCAGATGGATTAGTTGTGATTTCTTTATAGCGGCTGTCATTGCAGGTGCTTCCTTTTCTTCTTAATCCTGCTGCTCCTACTGCAAATGTTTTAAAAATTGTAGAAATCCTCATCATTAAAACCGTTTCAAACAAGATGACCGAAATAGCATCTATTGTTTTCTATGAAGTACAGCATTTCCATGTCTATTTTAATATTCTTTTAATAAAAACCGTATACATTTCAAACTGAAGCATTTTCTTTGGTAGTTGTACCTAGATTTTTGTTTAAATTTTATATTTAAAACAGCCTAGTGTTAGAAACAGCTTATAATTATTTTCTCGCTAACTCGAGAACTCCGTACATATTATTTTAAGGAATGTACAGTACACTTAGTTTTTTGTAATTCGTGTTTTGAACATAGAATGCACTCCAAACACAGTGCTATTCATTGTTTTATGAGAGTTATCTAGGTAGATAAACGGTATTTTGACTTTAAATTGTTAATTTCTAATAAAATTTCAAATAACTCACTTATTATCATTGATATGGGATTTTTCATTGTAAAATATTTAAAGCAGATGCGGTTTGTAATACAATGCCGTTTAAAACATGTTTCTATCGTGTCTAGTTCACGAGATATGAGCGGTGTTCTAGAACTCGCCTCAGCGCTACTTCCACCTCCTCTCACCAAGTTGTGCACCTGCTGGAATGGCGACAACATCGGTTTTTGTCATCTCCAAGGTGCCCCCAACAACAATCAAAAGTCAAAATGCGTTATACTTTCGGTACATACCCAATTTTTACAAGTCTGTACTACACGTTGATTTCTGCCACGCAGTGGCGTCACCCACATCACTGTGCCGCTTCATCGGAAACCTCGCATAACCTTGTAATATTTCGATATAATTGCCATATAAAGTCACTTTAGCATGTTAAACATATTATGCACGATGAAAAACTGTACTGTTTGTTGTTTTAAAGGGGTTTTAATGGATAGTTTAACGTCATTTAGGGGTTTTTATTCAAATTTTAAAATAAATTGTTAAATAACTCAACTAATATTATAGATAGGGGACTTTTCCTGGTTACTTTTTTAAAGCAGATAAAGTTGGTAATACAATGCCGTTTAGAGCTTGTTTCTATCGTGTCTAGTTCACGAGATATAAGTGATTTTATAGAACGCGTCTCGGAGCACCTTCCCCCCCTCCCCCCCAAGTTGTGCACCTGCTGGGAGGGCAACAACATCGGTTTTTTTCATCTCCAAGATGCCCCCAACAACAATCAAAAGTCAAAAAGAGTTACACTTTCAGTGCATACTCAACCCCCTATAGATGCTGGACTATTTGTGGTTTTTGCACTTTTGTAACCTATGAATTGGTAATTATTGTGTAAATAAATTTCTTGATAGATTGATTGATTTGATTAAAATTAATGTGCTATGGTCCTTATACTAAACAAAACAGTGCAATCGTAATCCCCCATTGCTGAAACAATTATGGTTTAAAAGTTATTGAAACTTTTGTGATTTTTCCCTATATAATAATATAGTTACTCCCACCATTTACCCATGATAAAGGCTGTTGACAAGCTAATAGGAGAAAGTATGAGTCAGATTGCTGATTCCATTTATTAATACTGTAGAGCGTAGGCTGGTAGGCTACTCTAAAAAAGTTAAAATTACAACACATAGCTTAATTTCTGGATTTAACTTAAATAAAAGTGATTTTTCAACAGTGTAAAGCATACTCAGTACAAACATATCCTGTGGAGCGGTTGAATAACAAAGAGTTCTAGAAAATGTTGAAGGTATCATAAAAGTGTGTCCTGTATAATCTAATATATGCCAAATAAGACTATGCCAATGGCAATGGTATTGTTGAGTGAAAATTTGAAAATGTACGTTTTCATGTCCCTGGCCTTTTACTTCGTAGATACTGGATTTGTAGTTTATTATTATGTGTTTTAATATTTTTTGGGACGGGGGCAACATGTTACACACATTTATTTGGTTTTAAATAGGTTCTAGGTATTTTTTTCGTATTTTTAAAGTCTCAAAATTCACGACCATGACGTGTCCCTAGGGTACATTTTCCAACTTTCACGCTGTTTTTAGACTAATTATTCATGCCGAAATATATAAAGCCATATTTTTATGTCATCAATGGTTATTAAACTTACAAAAAAGGAGCATATTTTAATTTTATTGTCATTGCAACTGACTACAATGACAAAATAAGTCTTTCCCTCGATTTGGCGTCACGACCATTTGGGAAAAATTTTCAACTTTGGAGCACGACAGTGGCAAGCCTGGCGTCAATGTCAGTTCTCAGTTGGTTTGAGAGACTAGTTCGGGGTGTACGTCAGGATTGTAGTGCCGGTCGTTTCGAGTTGAAAGGAGGAATTACAAGATTAATAAAGGAAAGATTGTGTTTTTTGTAATTTTGGTGTGTCCATGACCGTACGTAGTCATTCGATGAAGTAGACATGGTGTTAATTTTTGTTTATAAGATATTTCAATTGCTAGATTAACCTAGAAGTCCACTTTGAATCCTCGAACATGAGGTGCAGGGCTACCGCCAGAACAGAGCCAAATAGCACGTAATTTCACGACCAAAGTTTCACGACCATCGCGGGTTTTTTCACGACCAATCCAGCCTTATGGATTATAGTGTGTTTGGTCGTGACAATAACTTTAATATAATTGTAAATTGAACAGTTTAGTTAAATTGAAACACACATTTTTATTATAACTAACAGTATAATTGAAGGATTGCTTAGAAAGATTTAAATTATTCCAGACAATTCACGACCGTACCGCTTGTCCCTGACCATCACGTTTATGATTTCTATCATAACAATTTCAAAAATTAAAATATCGTCATATTTCAATGTTTTATACACAAAAGAAGCACACCTCTATACAAACATAACGATTTTTCGGGTCTCAGGTAAGTTTTTTCGTAGTTATACAAACTTAAAAAGATTTTATTGGCTTTTTTTCAATTTTTTGAGTTTTTTGATTTTTTTCTGGAAAGACCAAATATACCAAAAGCTTAGTGACCTTTTTATTGTATAATGGTCATAAAAGTAAATTAGTTTATAGCAAAACATAGTTATAAAAATAATATTAACCATTTTTAATATTCATTTAAACGTCCGTTATGGTCGTGACAGGATTTTGTGTTTTTCCATTAAAGATGCTCTTTTAAAAAATAACTACCAAAGATATTATGTTACCATGGACATTTTATGAAACTTCAAATGTTAATGAAATAAAAAAAATAATAAAAGTTTTGAAAAAAGGGGAAAAAATTTGCAAAGTGCTTTTCCTGAGAACGTACGTTTTTAAATTTTCACTCTGTTACCTTATTATTTGTTTCCCTCCAGAATCGGAAAATGAGTAGGTAATTAATTGCTCAATTTATTTGATTTCTAGTAAAAATGATGGTTTAGGAGTTATTTGAGGGGGATGAGGGTTTAGAATGTATAGGTTTTAGATGTAATGGGACTTAACATTATAATAACGATTATGTTTTCGACTGTTTAGCTAAAAAAAAAGATTATACTATAGCTTCACATTTGTACAGTAGATATACCCTAAAATAATTTTTAAAAAGTGTGACTTAAATTAAAGTTGTCTTTAAAAAAAACAGAAATTTGGATATTTATTTGGATTTTACATTAGATGAAATTGTTGACCGTGCCTTTTTACTTGGTTTTCTTGCACTGTTTAGACTAGTAACATGGTCCCCTTCTCCACCGAGGTCATTTTCACGTGGTGCAGTTTCATTATTTTTAATGGATTTCTGGTTGAGTCTTGGTATGCGAGTTGTCTTTTTCACCATACTGCTAGCAGGATCTGGCTTCTGTAAAGGCGGCCCACCTTTAGAACCACTAAAGAAAGGTGTGAGTGAAGATTTAAGTCCTTCATGCGGTTTCCAGGGCGTAAACTTTACAGGTACTTTGGATTTGGTAGGTTCAGATTTCTTCTTGCATTCTTTTTCTTCAACCAAATCATCACTTTGTGTATTTTTACACATCTCCTTACATTCATCAGATACAATTACATTAATATTCTCTACATTTTCTTTTTTACATGGATAATTATTTTCTACCAAAACTGACTTTGGATTAGATGTAAGAGTACTCTCTTGACATGAAGATTTACCTTTAACAATTTGCAGAATATGAATTAATTCATTAGTAATGATCTCATTTGGATTTTCTTTTGACCCAGCTGTGTTCAATAAGGATTCCTTCAGTTCATCAACAGAGATGTTCATCGAATGAGCTTCTTCTTTCTCAACATCCAACCACTTCATCGCTGATTCTTTTACTTCCCTCAATAATTCAATCAACTTCCTTTGCTCATCATCTTTTATAATCTCAGTTTTCACTTCCCTGACATTTTCATCTTTATTTTCCAATTCATTTATTTTTCCTGGGGATGAAGAATTCTGGTTTGTGGTGGAAATATTTCGGCTATCTGTCTCACTAAGTTGCAGTGGTTTCAAAGTAAGAACCTCTTTCAGTGTGCTATTCTTCTCTAGTACCTTAGAGTTGGATTTCACAAGTGCCTCATGAGATGTATTTTTTGTTTTATTGTCTCTCACAGTTTCGCCATCCAGAGCTGATCCTTTAGGTGGCTTGGATATTTGTAGAGGTGGATTGATGGGGTCAGATAATAACACCTCCTGACTCTCGTTTGTTGGATTTATTAAATATACTTGTATGTTTTCTTCAACTTTCGCACTTTTCAATTCCTCATTGTTGATCCTCTCTTTCAAGTCACACTGCAATTCACCAAATTTTCTAAGCTGGAACAATGAATTTAATTAAAAGCTAAGTAGAATTACAGTACTGAAAACTTCTCTCATTTGGACCTATATGGTAATGTATGGACACAGTAATGATACAATGTACTGTGAGTACTTTGTCGGACTAGCCCGCCATTTAAAAAGTAATTTGTGAATCTGATCGGACACACATCACGAACGTATTATTAAATTAAAAGACATGCTGAGATGTATTTTAGGGTTATATGACTGACGCAGTGTTAAACTGTAAACTGCATAATATATTTACAAGTTCAGTAGCTTTTTGATGGATCCAAATAAGGCCACGCTGCCCATAATCATTGAGCTTTTAAGTGGTCCTGGTTAAAAAAACAAAAAAACAGCTTGTATTCAGGGAACAAAGCTACACTGAAAACCTTACTCAATTCTATCCTCAAATTGTTTCAATATTTAGTCAAAATATGCACGAGGTGGCGTCGCTGCCTCAAAAATAGAGAAAATGATGGAAGCAGGCCCGTTTTTGACCCTGTCAGCGCCCTAGGCACGTCTAATAGTAGCGCCCCTTTGCAATATATATATAACAGGGTGTATACCGACCGTGAAATCCGGGAATCATGCGGGAGATCTTTGAACCGTGAATTTTGTATTTCTACCTGGAGTTTTCAATTTACCGTGATCGCTCATGACAACAGTGCCGTTTCCGTGATCGCGCATGTCAACAGTGACGTTTCCGTGACCGCGGGAGACAATAATAAATGTCTACACACGGCCGCGAGGGATGATCAGAATGTTCCGCGATCGCAGAAGACGATGATGGTATCTACTATCTACAGAGCCGCAACGGATGATAAGAATATTACCACAATCACGGAAGACGATTGATGTCTACACCACCGCGGGAAACCTCAAGAACTTTGCCGCGATCGCGGAAGACGACGATGATCTCCACAAAACTGCAGGACATGATTAAAATTTTGCCGCAATCGCTGGAGACGATTACCATGGATTCACGACTGCGGGATACGTACGATATCTACAGGACCGCGGGAGATATAATAACTATTTCTACACGGCCACGAGGGATGATCAGAATATTGCCGCGATCACGGAAGACGATGATAATGTCCAAATGACCGCAGGAAAAGATCAGAATTTTGCCTCATTCACCGAAGACGATTATCTCCATATGTCCGAGGGAGATGATTACCATTTTGCCACAATTGCGGGAGGCGACTACTATGTCCAAACGACCGATGGGGACGATATGATGTCCTCACGGCCGCGGGGGTGGTCAGAATTTGACCGCGATCGCGCAAGACGAGGATAATGTCCTCACGACCGCGGGAAAATATCAGAATTTTGCCTCATTTGCGGTAGATGATAATAATCTCATAACGACTGTGGGATACGTTCTTATATTGCCTCGATCATGGAAGACGATAATTTTATGTCCAAACGACCTGACTGCAGAAAATAGTAAGAGTCTTGCCGCAAACGCGGGAGACGATTACGATGCCTACACGGCCGCGAGTGGTTATCAGAAGTTTACCGCGATATCATGCAAATACTACCACGAATTTTTTTTTTAATTTCCAAATTTTTGGCGCCCCCAAAAAAAGCCAATTGCCTCGCGCCCTAGGCACGTGCCTACCGTGCCTATTCGGTAAATCGGTCCTGGATGGAAGATACTTATCAGATTACTTGCAAACTGAAGATACTAAATTGATACTGATGATGATCTTTCACTATTATTTTGTAGTATCTTTTCACCACAAACTACACAAATAAATAACACAAATCTCACTCAGTCAAATAAAACGGTAGCTTTATCGTTAAGTTAGTGATTACAGACCTCCTCAGCGGTGATGCTCAGAGGTGACCGAGACAGCAGCCACAACGCCTGGTGACAGGTGCAAGACAAGGCTCCCCAGTAGGCCAGGTAGTCCTGAGTGAAGGGAGGCACTAGAGCACTCAGTGGACCGGAGGGAAGTTGTGTGACTGTCTTTGTGGAAGTCACTTGTCCCAGGTGATCTGTCAACCATCCGATGCTTGACTGAGGTTCCACCTACGACCAAGGAATGTAATGAAGTGGTGATGTGACATTTACTGTATCTAAAGACTCTACTTTACTCTATATTTTTTTCAGTAAACTAGTTGCACTCTCACTTTTCAAAACAACCTCTTAATCAGTGACATGGATGTCCCTCAAATAACATTTATGATGCTGAGAAACCTTTAACGTTTGAGCAAAGTGCTTTTGGTTTAAGTCAAAGGAAAACTTCCAATCCTCAATGAAAACTTATTAGGAGAAAAATTTTTATGTAATGATGATTTATTAATATTCATTTAATATTAATCTGTAAATCTTTTTTTTAATTGGAAATTCGTATAAGTTTTTGAATCACTACACAAATAGTCCAGAACTGCAAACATTTTCTTTAAAACATAACTAGATTATAAGTACCTTGAAAAAATAGGCTACAATTAAAATTCCATCATTCTTTCCTAAAGCTTCGGCCTGAGTTTTGTAACTGGAGTTATAAAACACCACATGCATCTCTAGGGGTGGGCTGAAAAAAATGTTGGTCATTGTACTACCAAAAATTGATTTAACACTCATACTAACATTCTGTTCCTAAAGTATCTATTATGTTGCAAACGTATTTGGGTTTGAGCCAAATTTTATTATTTTTTTTAATTAAAACAAAATGAAGACAATTTTTATATTTGATTGGTATGTTTGTTTATTTAAATGTAAACCTACTAGGCGCCTTTGTAAACCGAGCCGTTTTTTGGATGTCATCTTTGTGGACGGGAATTTGGTGGTAAGCCTTGGACAAATCAATGGCAGAGAAATGTGTACAGCCTGCTTAATTGAACGAGAAATCCTGAATATGTGGTACAGGGTATCTGTCAGGAACAGTAGGAGTATTGTAAGCACGGTAATCATCGCAAGGACGCCATCCATTTTCCCCTTTAGGCACCATGTGCAAAGGCAAGGACCAGGGGCTTTCAGAGGGTGGAACAATACCAAGCTTAACCATCTCCTCAAGTTCTTTCCGGGCAGCTTTCAATTTTTGAGGATGTAAGTGATGTGGTCGACAGTGAACAGGAGGACCAGGTGCAGGTGTCACATTTATATGATGAACTGTTTAATGTTTTACAGTACGAGGTAAGCCTGGAGGACGAATAATATCAGGGAATTCAGCAAAAACTTCTGCCAATGTTGAGGAGAAAGATATAACTTTAATACTCTGTAGTTTGATTGTGTTAGAAACTATTCATTCAGCATTCAATCCCGTTTTCTTGTCATCCAAACATTTCATCTTGCAATCGGGTAACAAGTAATAGTGTGAAAGGAAGTCTGGACCTAATATAGGTACTGAAACATCCGCTACCACTAGACTCCAAGGTAAACTACGTCTAAGACCTAGATTAAGGGTGAGAGGCATGGTACCATAAGTATTTATTTCACTGTTATTGGCAGTACTTAGTGAATAGCTAGTAGGATAACATTTATATTTGATAAGGCGTTTAGGAAAACACAACACATCAGATGTCGATAAGGAACCCATTTCTGTCCATCAGAAAGAGACGGCTGCCAGCATTTGACAATCCGTTGTGGCCTCTACGGATTGTTGCTGAGGTTTCCCTGAAAAGAGCATGGAGAAAGACATTTGGTAGCATTATTTTTGAATTTTCTATGGTACAGGACCAGAGTTCTTAGAGGGATTGGGCACGTTTTCTGATCCACCACGAGACTGAAAATGACCCCTAGGTCTCACCTGTGTATCTCATACTCTGATTTCGGATAATGCTTGAACTTGCGTTTAGAGGGATTCTATTGCGTTTAATAAAGAATCATTACCTGAAGAGACTTAACAAATACTATGGTATTTGTTAAGTCTCTTCAGGTAATGATTCTTTATTAAACGCAATAGAATCAATGGTTTTTATTTTGACAAATACTATGGTATTTGTTAAGTCTCTTCAGGTAATGATTCTTTATTAAACGCAATAGAATCCCTCTAAACGCAAGTTCAAGCATTATCCGAAATCAGAGTATGAGATACACAGGTGAGACCTAGGGGTCATTTTCAGTCTCGTGGTGGATCAGAAAACGTGCCCAATCCCTCTAAGAACTCTGGTCCTGTACCATAGAAAATTCAAAAATAATGCTACCAAATGTCTTTCTCCATGCTCTTTTCAGGGAAACCTCAGCAACAATCCGTAGAGGCCACAACGGATTGTCAAATGCTGGCAGCCGTCTCTTTCTGATGGACAGAAATGGGTTCCTTATCGACATCTGATGTGTTGTGTTTTCCTAAACGCCTTATCAAAAAAAAAATTATCTTTCAAACAAAAAAAAGTTCATTCCGATCCGACAAATAGTTTGCGAAATATACGATTTAAAAAAATCAATGGCCGCCATTTTGATGACGTCATAGCTCGAAAACGTACCAGGTGCGAACTTGACACCCGAGTGGAAAACACTTCCTAAGACACCTCTATTGAAATGCAAAAGCAAAATTCTCTATACACGACATGCACACAGAACCCTAGTCAGGTCCTGGACTACCAGGTGTTGAAGGAATATCAGCCACCTCCATGATCTTATCAGCCAGTTTGTCTATGGAGAGCTCAAGTTGCGTAGTCAATATGGCTTGTGAATGAGGAGGGAGTCATCTGAGCCACAGTTGATGAAGCATGTTGTCTTGTTGGAGTGTGAGCCCGAGAGAGACCTAAGATTCCTCAAAAACTGGGAAGGCCTGTGGTCTCCAAGGCCCTCTTCAAGGTGGACTCAGCAGTCGCCGCACACGTTACTCTTCGTATGCAGAGAGGCGTTCAATCAGTTTCTTCTTTAGATATCCGTATTTGTCACCTTGAGGAGGGTTCGTTGATGTCTTTGACTTCAGCAGCAATTCCTGTGTCCAATTGCAAGACCATTTAGTGAAACTTGGTGTCGTAGTTGGAAATTCCAGATGTAAGAAATTGTGAGTCAACTTGACAGAATCAAAGACTTGGTCTTTCAGGCCAAATCCAAATGGGCGGAAGTTTGACGGCTACTCTGTTGACCGATATGTTTTGAGAAGTGCTGGGTTGTCTAATCCGTTGACGCAGTTCCTCATTTGCAGTTCTAAGAACGGCAAGTTGAGTCTGCAGGTCTTCTAATGACATCGTTGTTAGAGGAAATACAAAAGGTTAAAACTCTTCTAAGAAAATAATAGTCTTTTAGATAACAGTTGTAGTCAGGGTCACCATTTTGGTCGTTGTTGTTTGTGTAGTTCAAATCAACTTACGAAAAAATAAGTAAGGAAGAAAATAATTTATTAGAAGAGTTACAAAGTGTACATTCCTCTAGAAAACCAACAACAAAAATAATTTTCTTTCTTACTTATTTGGTCGTAAGTTGTTTTGAACTACACAAACAACAACAACCAAAATGGTGACCCCGACTACAACTGTTATCTAAAGACTAGGCCTATACCAAAGTCTAAGTTCTTTCTACGTCAACATAGTAAAATACAAATTGTATTAAAGATATGAAGTAACGTAAACAATGAGTCGAATTACTTCCAGTGTCGGGAGGACAGTTGGCGCAACCCAAAGAACAATTCTACTCTACTTTCCATTGCCTTAATATATAACTCGAAATACAAATGTTAACCTGAAGAATACATAGTTGAGTATTCTACCAAAGAACACTAAATTAAGTATACAATACACTTTATTTGCTCACCTCTTTCCATTAATTGTGTGAGTGTTGTGCACATGACTTGACATGCCATAATGGAAATGGATCTGAGAAAATACATATGGTGTGTCTAGTGGACCACCACACAGTGTCGGCTTCTGGTGAGGCCATTGACCTTGGATCCTGACTGAAGAGAAATGTTCATCAGTATAACATTGGAAAGTACTAAAAGCTTTGAAAATATTTGCAGAAATTTGTTTTAAAGACTAAAAATATTAATACATGTACAGGGTGACACAAAGGAACCGGACGTTTTTTAAACAAGTAGTACACAGTAGTTAAATGGAATAAAATGGTTTTAATAATGTACATAGTGAGGTAAACATTTGCCATTTGTTACAAAAAAGTAATTTTTTTAATGACGTCATGCATATGGCGCCCATGTACTTATCTACAAATGTTCATTCTGGTGTGAAAATCATCTGAAACTCGGGTCAGGAGGTCTTGTTCAATGCTATTGATATCTTCTGTAATTGCAAACTTCAAATCCTCTAGAGTGCGTGGTTTGTGAGCATGAACACGCTCCTTAAGAAACCCCCAAAGTAAGTAATCACTAGTGGACAGGTCAGGTGATCTCGGCGGCCACGGTTTGTCACTAAAGCGAGAAATCGCCTTGTTATGAAACATTCATTCAATACTGCTCTCACTCTGGCGATGTTTTCGGGTGTTCTCGAAGTTCTAACAAGGCCTAGTGGTTTCTTCTTTGTTATATTACCAGTTGTTCGGAACCCTAAAACCCATCTTAATAGCGTATTTCGGTATGGAACCGTTCTCCATGGCGATCAATGTTAAAATATCGACTTAAATCCCGCTAGATTTGACGACGGATTCACCATTTCGGACCAAAGTATCGTGTGCGAAAACGCGATGGCCTAGGGTCCACTGAGCCATTTCAACAAAAATGGCAAGTCTCACTGAAGGTAATGACATAACTTCAATCTTCCTACCACTTGCGACAACAATGGAACAGCTGTTTAAAAAACGTCCGGTTCCTTTGTGTCACCCTGTATAAATGCCAGAGTCTCTATACACAAATCACTCTAACAAGTGATTGATCTTTACCCTACAAGTAATTTTAGGGCCAACACAGCTTGCTGAAACCTGAGTGGATCAAGTGAATCTTCCACACGAGTAGAGGATACTGCTAAATTAATTTGCACTGTTGTGTTATTGCGGTGTTGGAGTTTGAAGGACAATCTGTCATGAAATTGTTGTGTAATGCGTTAGCGTCAGACAATTAATTTAATCCCGTTGTCAATGATAGAGCTTTGATTGTTCTTACTGGTGGATTGCCTAGTCTTCATAGGATGAAGGAAGCGTGACTTCAAAGGCTTGGTGCCCTGGATATAGCTTTGTTGAGCTTTACTATAGTAATTATTACTGTTAACAATGTTTGAAAAACCTCCTAGTTAACATCCATGTTGAAAACTCAAAATGTTTATCACTCTTTATCTAAATTTTTGCTTAAATTGAATTTTTTACATTTGACAGGAGTAGGCCTACTATAAAAAAATGCCAGTGTACCGGTACCTGAATTTCCACTATTCCTCAATACTAGTTTTGAAGGAGGCTCAAAAAAGTTAAACCACTTTAGTCGTTTAGCTTTTAAAATTTCAACTTTCTGCAGAGAAATATCGATTGGGGAGACCACGCTGCTTTTTTGTTGTCTTATTTTGTTGCCAATTTCTTCTGCTGCAAGAGGCTCTGCAAATAAAAGAAATAGATTCTTATGTTTGGTCTTTTAAAATTAAAAATAGTAAGATTCATATTAGTAGGTAAAGCCGCGTTTACACCGGAGTTTCAAACAAAAAGTTGCAAACTTTTATTGCAAACACCAGTTGCAAACAGTAGTTTCAAATAAAAGTTTGCAATTTTTATTTCATGGTTTTGTTTCCATGTTTCATGAAAATGTTTGAGATAATTTCGACCTTGATTGAAATATCATTGATTGATAAAAAAACTCCCACTTGGTTTTCCCATCGTCGGCCCCCGATCCAGACTTATTGCCCTTTTTAGATTCTCTGTTAAATTGAATTATGAGGTTCCTCATCCTATTTTGGACCTCTGCCTTGCTTAAGTTAATTTCCCGTGAAATGTCATTCCACGCATAGTTTTTCTTGTTTTTGTTTTTATAGTCGAAAATAGTTTGATTCCAAAGCACTTCATGTTCTCTATAAAAGCTAATTAACTTAATAATATTGTTTGTAATCTCTTCACTCCATCTCACTCAGTAGATCATCACTCACAACACGCACGATACGAGATAAGTCACAACAATAACGAGGTAGCCGTCCAGACAGGGTACTGAGTCGAGATACAGGGTGGTGCGAGTGATCACGTGAGTGAGACAGGAGGTGGTAGCGTAGGGGATGGCGGAGAAATGTTTCTGTTTCGTGTTTCAACGGCTCATAGTGACCGAAACTAGTGTTGCAAACAAAGAGTTTGCAACTCCCTTTGATCTTTACCGACTTCAAGTGGAAACAAAAATTTCTGTTGCAAACACCGAAAAACTGTTTGCAACAGCGAAAAGTTTCGTCTGAAAATGGGCGTTTTTAGAGATGTTTGCAATTTCTGTTTGCAACTCGTGTTTCAAACTCCGGTGTAAACGCGGCTTAAGCTAAAGAAAATTTCTGTTAATCTTTTTTGACCAAAGATATTTTATTTAAAACATGTGGATACGGTAACACCTTTAGGTAATTACAGTATGTAGTTAATTTAGGATAGTTGCATAACCTGAAGGATGGCACCCACTGGCCTTCTAATATAAAAATACCAAATAGTTAAAGACAAGAGAAGGTTTGAAGATGAAGATGACATGGTGGAGAAGATAATATGGATGCAATTTGTTGGTGAGAGCAAAAATGATTGAAGTGACCACAGGAGTAAGTAAAGTTGATTAATATTGTAGCTATTAATAATACAATTTTCTTAGCCAATATGATATTTAAAATCACTATCTACACGGACAAGTTGTTATTACAAGCAACATCTCTTTGAGTGAAAATGAGTGTAATGTAATAGCAGGTCTGCACAGATGATTCTAATTACAAAATAAATATTTCCATCATCACTTACCATCGTTACAATTATCCTCAGAAGCCATTATAACAGAACACCCTAGTACATAGTAGTTGAATAATCCTTCCGAAAGGTTGTGTCTGGAAAAAAATAGCCTAACAAAAATAAGGTAATAAAGGATCACAAAGATTTACATTTTGTCCAACAATAAAGTTGCAAATAGCTCCATACTCTACCAGTTCCCTGTAATTTCCAGTCTAGGCAACAAGACAGCTAGACACTTCGTAACCACAGAGAAGTAAGGAATAAGAGGATACACTACATGGTGTCTTGCACTAGGGCTGGTGTCTAGGGCAAAGGCCCTCGCCTGTATGTACTCATGGTGGAGGAAGACCTCCCTATGCCGTGTGCGATAGTAATTTCCGCACAGTGCTCGCTGTTGGGGCTCTTCCTTGCTTGTCACAAGTAGGCCTTCTGACACAACATACTAGAGCTGAAAGCGCACGGTCGTCTTATAAGCATGTTCCTCTGTACCTTACTTCTCTGTAATAGACAACAAGGTAAGTTATTTATGTGATTACAGTGTTTTCTGTGAACTCTTTAAACGACAATAATCCTTTGAGCTAATCCCACTGTATAGATAACAAAAACTGAAAATAAAAGTTGAAAGGGGAAAGGGTTGAAATCTTGTCTTGGTCAGGTTTGGTGAAAAATAGTAAAACTCACTAGTAGTGGCAGAGCTTAGTGGAATGGGAGAAATCAGTAGGCTCAGTTGAGAGTTCCGCCTTCTTCCTTCTTCTGATAGAGATTTCCTCTACTTTCCACTTAATCTTACTGTTTGACTACCCACTGAAAACCTTTTGTGTTCACAGGATAAGGAAAATCATAATAAAAATTTATATCAATAAATTGATCAATATATCTAAGGCTCAAAGGTTGGAAAGGATTAATTGAAAATTGCTTCACAGACTACTTACAAAAATAGCACAACAATTTTAATATTGGAAGTAGTACAAATTAATTTTAATGACAAAATTACAACTTTAAAACACACAACCTCAAATTTTGAATATATTTAAGACAGTAATTAACATTTACCATATGATTTTATGACATAAGTTAAAAAAATTTTAGAGACTAAAAGAAAAATATTGAAAAGTGATACAATTTCCTACTTTATTACTTTAATAGCTGATAAAATAAAATTGTTTCACTCCTTATGTTGGAAGATATACCTATGCCTTATTTATCTGTCACCATTATGGATCAACTGGAGACAAATTAGAGATTTAATCTAATATAAAAAAAATAATAATTTGAACATCAAAACATGCTGCATATTTTAAAATAGGGTGAGGAATTACCATCGAAAGTCAATTGTATCCCCAATCCAATGCAAAGTAAAATAATACCCCCGCCGCAGCAAACCTGCCGTCTAAGCGAATTTCCATTTGGCCGAATTGATTTTCAATTGATCTATTTAAATAACATTAGGTTTAACAAGTACCTAGGTTTGCTGCTACAAGGAAACTAATAAAGTAGTGTGTTTTTAGTAAAATATTGATAGCCTACTATAAAATAAATAAATTTGCCAAGTTTGATCAAAATATATCCATAAACAAGCAAACGACAACATTTTACAATATTCTCCATAAGAATAACAGGGAATTTTAAATTTACCATTTTTTTTTTCGTGTTCTCCGTAACCAATAACCGTACAAAAACACTTTGATATACTGAATTGTTTGTTTTTTTAAGCTCTTTAAGAAGGTTTAGAGAAAAATTGGGAAATTTTGTGTTTTGAGGGTAAGAAGTGAGAAAAACCAATTTTTACCCCATAAAACCCCCCATAAAACCCTGTTCCCATGGTCCGATCATGCTGGATCGCGAACTCATACAAGTTTATCCCGCCTTACACCTTCAAACCAAATTTTTTCAAAATCGGATAAAAATTACTCAAGTTATCGTGTTCACGGACACATATATATATATATAAATCTATATATATATATATACATATATAAAAATTTGAACAAATGGTGTTTTTGGCCTCTGGGGACATTAAAATGAAAAAGTAAATCGGTCCCGGGCCTAAGTCTTACCATGAGACCTACGGTAATAGCTACTTCCCTATAGGGAAATTCGCTAAAACAACTAATGAAAACTAAGTATTTCTTTAATTAATGAGATCCCTCTTAGAATAGATACAAGGAATGTTTAAAAAGTATCCGACCTTGTTCAGGAAAATAATTACCGTATTTATCGATCAATTATTTGTTATAACATGTTATCTCTTTTAAAATAGTCCCCTTGGGACTTCACACTCTTATTCCAGCACTCCTGCCACTTTTGTAAACAAGCCTGGAACTCTTCCTTCTTAATAGAATTCAGAGGAAGCTGTCCCATTATGCATTATCTCAATTCTGCTCTGAATAGGGGTCCCTTTAAGCGGCACCGGCATCTTCATCTTCAATGTAGGGAACAGCCAGAAGTCACACGGTGCCATATCCAGTGAGTTGGGGGCCTGGCATACCACAGGAATGCCATGTTTTGCCAAGCATATGGATCTTAGCTTGTGGACATAAGCTAAGAGAAGCTGGTGATCAATCCCATCACTTATCAGATGTTGAAGATAGCTTCTTTAGATGAGCTTGTACACCTTAAATCCTATATTTAAAGTGTCAAGACAAGACTTGAAAAATAAAGAAAACCCCATCTAAAGATGAGAACAAAAATTATATTAAACCCGAACTTTAAGCCAAATGTCCAAGTGAAAAACCTAACAAAATCCCTCCACTAAGGCTTTTGAAATTAGAGATCTTCAATCAGTTTGTCCAAATGTAGATGTAGCATTCTGTTTGCAAGCACAGCAGCACAGCTATATCAAACTGCTTACCAGAAAGATTGTTTTCATGCCTAGCAAGAGCAACATATCAAAGCCGATCTTCTGAAGAAAGACTTATAGTTAACCAGCAGTCTTGAAAAATGAAGAAGAACTTACTGCTGAACTCCCTGGACTTAACTTGGACAGTTATTGTTTCATTTTCTAGGTTTAAACCACGATTACTAGAAAAATACCGGTATGGATCATAAACATAAACAAATGACGTTTTTGGCACGAAAATAAACATTATTTAACATTGCTTAAACGGAACTGCCAAAACATATGTTCAATGATATTAGTATAGGATTCGGGCCAACAACGTCATTTGTTTATGTTTATGATCCATACCGGTATTTAAGTAGTAATCGTGGTTTAAACCAAGGAGAAAAGTGTTTAATTTGTTTGGATCAGCTGTCTGAAATAAGATTTTGTCAGTACCCTTGTTTACATTAAAATGTCAAAGCAAAGGTAAACATTGTGAATTTTTCATGCTTCCATGAATACAAATTATTAATTATTACCTTTGAAAACCTCGCATCAAAACTTAAGACGTCGAAGAGGCGCAGCCCACGAGGAACTCTGGGAACTTCTGGGAAGTGAATAGGCCTATGAGATTCCTAGATATGTGGACAATCTTTGTGCTTCATTTTGTATCGGTTTAGCACGATTACTAGAAAAATACCGGTATGGATCATAAACATAAACAAAATGACGTTGTTGGCCCGAATCCTATACTAATAGCATTGAACATATGATTTGCCAGTTCCATTTAAGCAATGTTAAATAATGTTTATTTTCGGGCCAAAAACGTCATTTGTTTATGTTTATGATCCATACCGGTATTTTTCTAGTAATCGTGTCGGTTTAGTATTTTAGTCGTGGTAGCTGCACAGACAGACAGACACCACCTCAATTTTATATTAGTATAGATGGATCAATAGATTTATTTTAATTTGTATTGAGCCCCTGTACTTTTCTCAATTAAGAAGCTAGCTGAACTTTATCTTTCTATACATAACTGCTACATTTAGGCCTAACAAAAGTGTTTGTGATTCTTTTATTTAAAATTCTAGAGGCTTAGGCACAAACAGAAACACAAAAAGATCGAATAAAGGAGATTAAATACCACCATTTAAAACATCACAGTTATAAACATATTTAATATAAAATAAAACTGTACACAGAAGACGAGCGGTGAGAGATCCTAGCTTGAGCGAGCAGCGTATTACACAGCAGAAGGCGGTTATGTACATTACAAGGCTTTGTACATGGAGGTTAGGCTGGCCTGAATATCACCATGGTGACCAGTCCTGAAACATGACAAACCAGAGTACAAACTAAGTTATTGGGTCACATATGAGGACCATTTGTTAGTGAATTTGTGAAGTAGTACTAGTATCAAAAGTTGCAGTATTCCGTGCATACTCTAGGTGCATAGGATCACAAAATTTCTCATGGAAAGAAAAACTATATTGGAATCGTTGGAACAACTTCATGTATGGGGAATCATCGAAACTTAAAAACACTTGGTAGGCCTACAAATTGTGATTGCTACTTTTTAAACACACACAAACAACAGACCTGATTGAAATGTTAACTAAAGAAACTAATGATTTTAATTGTCAATAACCAGACTTTTCAATTGTATAAATTCCAGGGTTGACAGTAAACAATCCTAAAATTAACAAGAGACTAAAGTCAATTAGTCTCAAATTTTCTAAAAAAATCACATTAAAATGAACAGGTCCAAGATTCATTACTAGGAAAGGTTTTCTTTTAAACGTGATCCTTCACTTAGTTGACCACTGGTGGCCACATTGTTGACAAAAATGATCAAATTGTTTTGACATCAACTGTTAACGCCGCTCCTGTGTTTAGTACCACTGATGGCGTATTCCTGCACATCAGGTCAGCAGCCATCATGGCAGCTTTCAAATTGTTTTGTTTTTAAATGGCAAGGACAGCCAATTCAAAATTTACACGTGCTGCTGTGTAATAAACGCAGACAGTTCAGTTGGTACAATGATTAATACTACCTAAAAACGGTCTTTCCAATATCAAAGGATTTAACAAAGAGTATTGTATAGACATTTTTCTTGCTTAATCAGCAGAATTTACCTAGAACGTAGGAGACAACCAGTTTGACATTGACAGTGACTGGCCATGAGATTGCACTCTTCTCCCCTTCTAGCGGCAGACACAGAACTGCGATGCAGACTAGCGCAACAGCTGACAGAAACCATTGGTTGGGACCTGCAGATGCTTTATAAACAGGATAAGTTACAATCACCAAGGTATAATAACAGTTTTAAATTTCAACTTCTTCATTAATTGTCAAGTAGAGCAAGAAAGCATTACTTCGTAAGGAGGACAATGTTGTTTTACTATTAAGAATACTGTAAGTAGATTTTTTGCCTAGTTATCAAATCTGAAGTTTGTTTATGAATGTGATGATATATGGTGTTTATATAGACTTCACTGGAGGATCAGTAGTTAGTCTACGGCTAAGCAGCTTGGATTAAGTCGTGTAAAAGAGATCTTTTACACATTTTATGTATTGAAAAGTTTCTACTAGCACCAGAGACATAAAAAAAAAACCTTCGGTATAATGCATTTGCATAAAAGACTGAAATAAAACAAAAGTAATATCCCTGCTCCACAAAGCTAAATCACAGACACACGGTCACTGAAACTCTAAAATATTATTGGAACTGCAATGCATCATAAAAAGCCATCAAAGGACAAAACATTGACTACATTATATGATTAGTAGTGAAATTTCAACTACAGTAGACTCCTTGTTATCCGGAATCCTCCGGACCGAGGCCAGTCCGGATAACAGGTTTTCCGGTTAAGCTGATGTCTCCAAAAACTCGTTAAAACTGGGGACTGTTTACTGTAATATTTGACTTAAATTTAGGAGAGCATTGTATTTAGACACCTAATCACTGGTCTAAAATCTTTCCCACGAACGTCGTTTCAGTACCGCTCACTTCCTGCCGATCTAGTCCGGTTAAACCAATGTGCTGATAAAAATTGTCCGGTCAAAGAGATGTCATTTCCGGCGAGTTTAGTCCGGTTAAACAGATGTTAAAAGGTGTCCGGATAAGAGGGAGTCTACTGTACACAGATTGACTGGCATCTAAAATTTGAATTGTGCAAAACTAGAGGAGGATTTTTTTAATACCAGGCAGATAACAAAGGGTTTTTGTAGAAATTTTAAAATTCCGGAAGCCAGAAGTTAAGGTTTTTGGTATAGGCTAAACTGATAAATTCTAATATGTCGGTTCAATTTGCTGCCTTCCCAACAGTACAGCAAGTTCCATTTCTAGTTATCCTGGATAACTTTGTAACCTGAATAACACTTACCAGGTCTCTCAGATCGGTGACCGAGGCTATACTGTCGCTGCGGCTGGGAGGGAGTGGAGGGGGGAGCTGCCAGACACTCAAACTCCTTGTCAGGTATTGACTTGTCAGGTTCACCAGTCACCAGAGTGGCAGTGACATCACGGCGACCTATCAGCTGATAAACATACGATAAGTTAAGATTGTGTTAAAACTTAACTCGTGCATGTGATGGGAGAGGATTTTTCTAATAGTGCAACAACTTAAACTTTAGTTTATTTATGAAATCTTGAGTAAAATATCTTACAATACAGTACAACCCATTCTGACCGCACCTTATTGAAACAAAATCCAGGATAACCGCAAACATCACAAAAACTGTTAATCAATTGGAATATGAGTTAGGCAACAGAAATGTTCCGCCCATTTTTATGTAGAAATGTGGGAATGATTTAATTGATTTAATCTGCGTAAGTGTTTACCACAAAAGTTCCTTCCACAAGATTTTAATACTATCTTATTGATCTTCAAAAAGGAGATGAAACCAGTTAACATAGTAATAATAACTCCGATGATGCACTCGAAATATTTCATTCATTGAATATCAAACCATATTTTATAACTTGTGCAATAGTCATTATTATTTTTAAAACCTATTTATTACTTATTAAACAAAGTTAAATGTTAAAGTTTTGATAATTTAATTCTATTTATCGCAGTTAATGAGTGTAAGCCTTGAAAGTATCCGTCAATTTCGATGGGTTTCACCTATAGTATCGCCATTTCTTAACTGATTTGATCCATTGACATCGCATTGGGAAGAGCGTGTCGCGTAGATTTGCAAACTGACCTTACGTTTTTGAAAAAGTCCCTTGGGCTCTGCCCCAGTGGCTGTTAAAGTTCCCATGTTATCCTTATGAAGAACATAATTGTTTACATGTTGATCAGCTGTATAATTTAATTGCTGTTATTTATTTTTCTATTCTTCTATTCTAAGTCTTTTAAACTCATCGGAAATTATGATGACTTTTATTTGTTTTTAAATAACTACTTTAATTCTTTGCAATTGCTCGATTCTGAGTAACGTGTTTACTAGTAAATATGATTGCATTGGCAGCTTAATCAAGTATAAGTTAATAGAAGGAAATATACAATGTTAATTCCAGTAAAAATTAGATAAAATATTTGTTACCAATTATCTCTTGGATAAAAATTTTTAATATTATCACTAAGGAATTCACCAAAACCACTTAACATGTTCTTTTTGCTATTTATCAACTTCGATACGTTTCTCAATGTAAACTAGGTCAAGGTTTCAATGAATAGAAAACAGTTGGCATTGTTTACAACCCTATCAAATCAAAGGTTACTGAAACGGAGCAAAAACCACTGTTTATACTAGTATATTTTTAAAATGAGTTGGTAACTGAGATTTTCTCATGAAAACTACTTTTTCTTCACATAAGCGGTTACATAATAACAGTGCCAATCAATCAATCAAAATACCTTTATTCCATTATATGTACACGTAGTTACATGACATAGAGTCATCAGAACTATAATTAAGTGAATAGATACTGAGGTGCCCATCCCCCCAAAGCCAGAGGAGCAGTTCCCCCCATTTTATGCCCACTCTATTCAACCCCCCTCCCCCCCAAGTACTTGGCAATTTCCCTTACCACATAAAACAAGCATTTTAAGTATTTACCAACTTGAGGTAAAGAAAAACAAACTTGCTGATAATCGAAATGAAATTTTTAATAGGAAACTTCATTTAACAATACAAAATTATATCTATTTAATGGACGAATTAGAGTCAGCCAACATGTTCTCAATATAATAGGTGATGAACATTTTTACAGGGCTTAAGAATTCAAACAACATTAAGTGAACAACTTTACGAATATTACTTTTGCAAAAAGTATCATTTTTCAAAATTAGGCAGAGTCACGAAATAGGGCAGACTAGGAGGGGTTGCTCGCCACTTCCAGGCTGCCTTCTAAAAAAATCACCGGGCAAAAAAAAGGCCATAAAAGTCGCCCGTCCGGGAAGGGTTAATGCTTGTATTCACCAAAATTGTCACCCTAGTGTGTCGGCATCATACAAATAAAACATAATCTACATGATGTTTAATAGGTGAAAAGGCCAAAAATGAACATTAATGTTACTTTTATTGTATATATCAAGATTCTGAATGCAGCTGCAACTCAGTTTTACATCCTTACCTGTTTTGTAGAGAAGTCGTACATCTGTATACGAAATTTGTCGACAATTTGACAGTTGACCAGGTTGACAGCTGCATGGCGAATCACAATGTCGATGCAGCACTTTGGTCTGATAGAACCCTCTGGATCAACTACTGTGAACTTTCTAGGGCTTGTGCTTAGAACTGGAAAAAACCAACAACTTGGATACTAAAAGCACCATAAATTTGACTTTGCAACAAAACGGTCAAGGGCACCAAGCATAACAGTTGAAGTGTTTTGATGTGTTTTCATTGATTTATTTATTCCTATTTTGATAATTTTCCTCCTCATCCAATGAAAACCTCCTCCATTTTCACAGGAATGGAGTAGACGTTTCCACTGGGATCACAGTCAAAAACATATACATGGTTTTATTGAAGTGGACCTCTCCCACCAAGCAATGCCACAAACAGGTTATTTCATCAGAACGCCAGACCTAGCTGAACGGGATTCAAAACCTCAACTTTCAGAGCTATCTCCTTTCTAGGAGACAAAACCTCAGCTTGGCAGTTGATCAGACCTAATGGTCTATCTCCTGATTAAAAGTGGTTAGGCCTATCACATTAACAAAAAATCTTGATTGTGGTTAATCTATACTTGACCCTTAAGTTGGAGAGTAACTTATCAGTGTACTGTCTGTAGATTGACTGTACCGTACCCTGACATTAGCTGTAACGACTCTCAGCTTGTTTCGTTGGGTTAAAATCTTATAGATACCTTTAATACCTGCTACAACGTCGTTGACCAGAATTTCTTGATAGTCGGTGAAATTCAATTATTATTGTTATTTTAAGGATAGAAACTATAAATGTAGGCCTACACTATTGAATATGTTTAAGGCAAGATTGTAATGAGCCTATACTCGGTGCAACGCATCAAAATGTTCATCGACTGAGTTCAGGTGGGACGATAAGCTAGGATTTGACTATTTTTTGGAAAGCAGACGGTTTACAAGTCTTAAATCTTTGGGGGAGATCATTGTACATCTTCAGAACCCTAATCCGGAAACAGTTTTGTGTTTTGGTCAGCCTGCAGTAGGGTATGTGAAGATTGTGCCTGTTAAGCTAGGGTTTCCAAGATCACGCCAGCGTGATCTGTCCGGCGTCGTGAAGTCCGTTGGCGCTAATTTTTGTCCGGCAGATGTCCGATCAAGCTCGGTGAGAGAGTGGTTTGCAAGAATTCGGACATTCACGGGTTTTTTACATTTTTACAAGAATCCTCACAGAGTTCTACACTTGTCCGCTCGGCGTGCACGCCAGAAATGACTTGGACTCACGCCGGACAGATGGCGGGAAAACTCATGTCCGGCGTGATCGCTCGCACTTGGAAATCGCACTCATATAAAAGCACGGCGTCATTTTAAACTTGATTACATAATCACGCTTGTCCACTCACGCTGTCCGCCCAGCGTGATCTTGGAAACCCTAGCTTTAGGAAGGTTGTGGGAGTGGTGGAATTCCCTTGTTGTGAGCTGGCCCATATTATCTTTCACATAACAGACACTAAACAGTAAATACTGGCAGAAGATGGTGAGAATTTTTAGACTTCTGGCCTACAGTGATCACTGTAACCCGCTGATGAAATGATCCAAAGGGCCTTTATTTGAAAGAGAAGAATATCCTCACATCTTGCAGCGAACCCAAAGAAAGGGTCCATATGAAGAGGTGGGAATGAAATAAGCAATGTTAGGCAGTGATCAGGTAACACATCGTCAACAGGGGTTTATGTCTGCAGAGCAGATGGACGACACGAGAGAGCTTTGTACAGACATTGTCCACTCCAGGTAATCATTGGATCTATGGTGAATCCCGGCAACTCCTCTATGAAAACATCAGCGTTTGTACGACTGACAATACACACAATCTGTTGGGTTTTTTGCAGTTGAGGCTCATTGAACCAAGTCTTGGCCAACTCAAAAACTAGTTTATAAGTTAAAGTTTGGTTATTTTACTATTCAATACATTGACCTTTGGAGCTCAAAGAGTTGTATTTACATACCTTTAAACCGTACGGCAAAATCGTACGGGTTGTACAATGTTAGGATTTGTTTATGCGTAGTCTGATCCTCCAAATAAAATGTAATTGTATTAGGAAATACAAACACTGGGACCCTGCCATCTCCACTAGACTGCATTCCATTCAACTGCCTCTAGAACTTGAAAACCTAAAAAACATACGATTTCGTCACCAACTTACAGCCTATGGGGGACAAGGGAAAAAGTTTAGATACAAACTACTTAGATTCTATAAAAGTAATCGTTCATCATTTTAAGTTAGATTTTTAACATAGAGCTGTGCAAGACTTCTTACTGGGCCTACCACATTTTATCTTTGGTGCATTAAGTAGAGGATTAAGTTAATTTTAATCAATTTCATTCATTAATATAGCACAACTTGGCTCAACAACAATGCAAGTATGTTAAGCTACACTACCAAAAATTACACTTAATTCACAAAGCCTAGACTCAGGGCCGCTTTGATAAATGGGCTTGGGCCCAGGGGGCACAAGAGTTTTAGGTTTGTTGGGGACGCAAGGAAGTTAAAAATATTGTATTGAAATTAAACTGCTCTAAACTATCCTAACTAACCAAACTTGCCAACATTCAAAAATTCCGGGTGATAACCTATTCTCCATATGCCTTTTCTGTTATTAAACGGAATTTTGAAACAGCAACTTAGCCTACAGCAAAATGGTTATTCATGTTAGGTTAGTTTAGGATAGTTTCATTTCTTAATCCAATAGGGTATTATTTTTGCCTAAACATGATTAGTTCTTAATCCTATTCTCAAATACAAGCTATAACTCAATAGGTAACTCGGTTATTGAACCAGGTAGGCTATAACTTAGACATATTTGCTATGTCTGTATTTGTTGTCTGTCTGTCTTTAAATTGCGTTTGAAGATAATAAAACAGATGGAATATGGATCGCAAAGGAAAACAAAAATATCGATATATCAAAAAGATATCATTGATAATAATGAATGTTCCCCTTAACAGGAAAGAACCATTACAGGGTAAATATTCGTGAGGTAAACATTTAAGAAGTTTTTAAAGTGTGCATTTTTTACAGGGTAAATAACTTATGCTATTTATCAAGACCAGGCTTTGGACCAATGACTGCACAATAAAATTACTTAGGCCACCTACCGGAAGGTTAGGAGGTTGAGAGAAACTTTATTCAGATTATAGAACCAATTCAATTGCTAACCAAAGGGTACACTTCCATATCTGTTGGCACAAACAACTGAATGAGTAATATTGATTAAACACTAGGTTAACAAAGCCCAGACTTTCTATATCGAACGGAGTCGAATAGGCTATCAAAATTTTGAGACATAATCTTTGGTTGGTTTTTAAAAAAACCTACAACAATAATTTAGCCTTCTGCTAAAGAACTGTTCATGATTATAATAGCACTCCGATTAAATTTGTACTTAGTAGACTACCAATATCAGGTTATGGGCCTAGTTATCATTCATTAATTATGCAAAACACTACCTGTGTGAGAGTGAGTGGACACAAATATTGTGTTTTAGCCTCCTATAATTAAAGCCGGAAGTTAGCCTAAAACTTAGTTCTCAAAACACCAGATATGCACAAAAAGAATAAAAAATAATTAGGTACTGATGCATATAGCACAGTTCATGTTCAATATAAACAAATAAATTGATAATTTACTTGTCAAATAACTATGATCTTTGTCCTTGAATACTAATGATATTTATGCGATTGTATTTTAATTCTACATTATCGAAGCTTAAAAACTTACCTTTGACATTAAAAGTATTGATAGCCTACATAAACATATAAGTACTACGAATTTCCAACTTATAATTTGTAAAATTAGAAACAGGAAAACTTGTTTACTTTGTCCAAATTAGACAGCAACATCGACGACGACAACAACTTCAGGCAGCCACAGCATCCTTTGTTTTGCTTCCCAGCTGACGTCTTGTCTCTTCTTGACGTACGAAAAACAGCTGAGCTGACTTCATTCTCATTGGTCGCCTGGCAACTGCGACGTAAGCGCTACTAACACAGTAACGGCTAGATTAGGTACTAAATCACACAGTGAAAGAGTAGATCAGTTAAAACAAAACAATAATGTACGTATGTAATTTATTATTGTTTGACTATGGTCGTATTTGTAGCCTATAGACGTCATAGATCGTTTTACAGTAAATGAAACCGCTGAGGCAATTTATTTTGTGTTTGAAATGTTTGGAATCACTCACAGCGGTGATAACACTGAGCTATATTGAATATCAGGAGGTTTGTACTTCTCGACTTGTGGTAATTTCTTGCCACCCACCACACCATCCAAGGTCCCACTATAAAAACAGGCCATGATTTAGCGCGGGCAGTGCAACACTACGTCACAGTGGTGGATAGTTTTAGGTACTAAAATCTTACCATTAAAACCTGACAAACGGCCAGCTTATTTACCTAAAACATATGGCACTGGCAGTGAATCAATCAATGAATCTGTCAACTAATGTGACGTCATGGATCCTGCAGCATGGCCTGTTTTTTTAGTGGAGCCTTGCACCATCGATGAAGGGAGTATATTTTATCTATGGATGAGCTATAGTTATTTTTGTAACTATAGTGGGCGAGGTGGGTGAGGCCCCGAAGGTTGTACTTTGCTGCCGTTCTACCAGTGCCGTGCCGTAGGCGAGTGTGGAAAGTTTCTCGAGTGCAGCAAATGCAATTTGCACTCGTGGTACACAATGCTGGTGAGAGTTGGTGACACATTATACCTACAGTTATTATAAAGCATAGAGGGGGAGCGAGCTGGTCTAGTGGTTAGAGCGCGGGACTCCGGTTCTTGGGGTCCCGGGTTTAAATCCCGCCAAATCACCAATGGTTTTTATCTAAGTGTAATGCTGTAATCCCTAGGTCTAGCCTGAAGTAATATGAAAAACAGTTCCGGGCTCGTGCCTAGCGTCATAGGACAAAAAAAGGAAAAAAAATATAAAGCATAGAAATACTGTATAGTCTTGCTAGCACGTTTTGTTTTAGGTTAGGTTAAAGACTATGTTTTATCATCATAGATAATACATCCTAGCGTTGAACAAAGTGGGAAACACTACATTACATTACATTATTTGTCATGAGAGCCGAAGCCCCCTGACTGCATCCCGGTACCTATCGTGAGACTTACCCGGGCCCTATGATGTAGGCCGAAGCTTACGCATCAACCTTTAGCACATCATGGGCGGATGACTTAAGGTCATCAGGCTCGCCGGCTGCCGAAGCAGACCCTTCGGAAGGAGGGTTGCCCCTCAATCCTAACCAGGGATTCCGGCTGCTTGTTTAAGCGTCACTCCACCTGGGTTCCACTAGGTCGGGACCTAGAGGTCCATAGTAGAGCGCCCCGACGCATTTAGTGCAAGCAACACTCGGGACCAATCTAATCCCTGACAGGCAGAACCCGCCATCAATAGCCAGGAGGAAGGGGACCGTCAGCACGCTAACCTCCCATTTACACCACTACCCGATCGAGGCCTTACCCATTGCTGGGAAACCAGAGATAACCAGAGCGATAGATCCCCAGATACCCCTGGCGGGCTCGGACCCAGCACCCGATCTACTTCGTTTGCCCGTCAGACCCGACATCACTGCCAGGCCATCAGGGTTTCCCAAAAGGAGGCAGGTATAGAAGTGGAACCCACCCGGATGAACCTATCCACCAGAGGTGGCGACACCCTTGACTCAATTGAGGTTCCGGGAAGAACCCCCCACACTCAAGATAACCATACCGTCCGTGCTCAGAGACAGGGATTGGTTTGCATAAGTGCCTACAAACCGTTGCCCTCACACTGCGGAAAGTTACGTTGCCCAATCTCAGTGGGAAACACTGCAACAGCTTATCGTAGTCGTAGTATCTTTGTGTTGCTAACCTATTTCCAAGCTTAAGCTACATTTCCATTCCTACAAATTTGTGCCAGGCACATGTGCCCGCCGTGTGCCTGGCACAAATCTTCGAATTTGTAGGAATGGAAACAGCCTGGCACAAGTGTCCGGCACAAATTTGTGTCCACCGACTGTGCGACAAAACATTTGTACCCATTTGAAATGGAAACGGCCAGCAGGTAGGCCTACATCAAGACAAATTTATTTATGTTTGTTATGTATAAATTTAGATGTCTTGATGTAGGCCTACCTGCTGGCCGTTTCCATTTCAAATGGGTACAAATGTTTTGTCGCACAGTCGGTGGACACAAATCTTGTCTTTTGGGCCTACATGTGCCCGCAACTTGCACATGCGCAGGTCTGCCGAACAACTACCGTTCCCACACACTTTAACATTTTAAAAGCCAACGGAAGTAGGAATTTCACGAAATATATTTGAATGTTGACATGTTTAACAAAAAGAAAACTTGATAACAACAAATGGATTGGGTTGAGTTTAGCTTAATAAAATAATTAGAAATGATGCGTCACAACACCCTCTTAACATTTAAAATAATATATCACAATTCAAAATGGTGGATCCAAGATGGCGGCCGAAAAAATACATCCGTCATAACCAAGTGAAAATAGGTTAACAATGACTGGTAGTGTATACTTATCTTTATCTAGCACTATTTTGAGATTATGGTCTTAGTTTGTAAATGCACAATGTTAAAATGAGCTAAAAATAAAGTTATAAAAGCTCTTATAAATTTGGAATGGATCAAGATTTTTTAAACGGTTAGTGGCATTGTAATGAGGATAAAAATCTAGTTCGGAATAATGGGTCAAAGCCCCACCTTCACATTTGGAAAAAATATTTTGCATTCAATATGGCGAATCCAAGATGGCGGCCGGAAATTACCACCTTGTCAAAATGAAGTAGGCCTACTAACCAACAATGTTTGGAAGTGGTCTGGGATTGATATTTGAAAAAAGGTAGAAAAAAGGCACGTTCGTGAATTCTGCAGTACCGTACTAAGATAGATATGGTACTACCGAAATTGCTGGGCTTCTGAGTGCAGTTATAAATGAGGGAATGTACTGTATGTCGAGAGTTATATTTCTAAATAACAATGACTGGTAGTGTATACTTATCTTTATCTAGCACTATTTTGAGATTATGGTCTTAGTTTGTAAATGCACAATGTTACAAACTACGTACGTATGTGATACGTTGTACAAAAGGACGTTGAATATGGCTCTTCTAACAGGGTGTTATGCTGTATAGCCTAATATGTTTGCATGATCGTAACTTATACTATAGCTGTAAGCTCAATCACGTCCTGGTTGAAGTTCGTTCGCTACGCTCACTCACCTTTAGGTTGGAGCTCGTTCGCTACGCCCACTCACCTTTAGGTTGGAGCTCGTTCGCTGCGCTCATTTGCCTTCAGGTTGGAGCTCGTTCGCTGCGCTCACTTGCCTTCAGGTTAGCTCGTTCGCTACGCTCACTTGCCTTCAATTTAGCTCGTTCACTACGCTAACTCGCCTCCAGGTTGAAGTTCGTTCGCTATGCTCACTCACCTTTTGGTTGCAAATTAGCTGTTGTCATAAATGTAAACGAAAGAATAGTGCTGCACCCTGTTGGTAATCCTTGTAACTTTAATGCTATTGAACATCATAGAACAGAACCAACTTGTTTAATTGAAACAGCTGTTAAAATTCATTAATTCCATTTCTCATAAGGTTAACATGGGAAACTCCAGAGCCACTGGGGCGGAGCCGATTGGACGGATCGCGAAATTGATGGTGTATAAACCTATTCCATGAAATTCTACACGTATGTACCAAGTTTCGTGGCAATCGGTTCAGCGGTGTCTGAGTTTATCACTGCCAAATCTATTATATTATTAAAGTGATACAATCAAATTTTATGTAAACGGTTAAGGCCCTTTACCAAATAAAAATATAGACATATGGCACATAAAAATGAAGCTTGGAGTGTGTAGATTTGCCGAAAAGTATTGATTTGCCACAGGCTGATTTCCAAAGGGCTACGCCTGGCCTGCTTCCAAAGATTAAATGATTTAATTCAATTTAGTTAATGAAACAGCTGGTCAGTACAATGAAGTGGTGTTTGTTTATTTACTCGAAAAATTTGTTTGTGGTGCTTTATGTAGTTTTAGGAGGGTTATGTTTGGTTTTAAAGAAAGGTTGTATACGTTTTGTTAAGTATTGCTCAAAGTTTCAATTTGTAATTTATATAGTAAGCTACATGTAAAAAGGCTTGACCAAAATTGAAGAATTATGGTCAAACATGTCATTCATGAAGCATCAATATAAAGCAATTGATGCTATTGCTACAATAAGGTATGTTGTCATATTCTTTTGGATCTATATTAACATTAAAAGTAGGTGTTTGAAAGTAAGTAGGTTTACACTTTATATCAGTTTATATTTTCAAACTAAATCATAGAGTTGTTGTATTTTAAAACACGCATCAGCACTACTTCAATAGCTCTCTAGATCACATTTTCTCCCCGTTGCAAAGCACGGGTATAGCAGCTTGTATATATATATATACAAACATCCTCTTTTATACTTATAGATTGTACCGTCTATAAGATTAGGAATTTAGATTGTCCCTGCACTGTAATCGCAAAACATCGACTGACACTACAATACCCCCGCCGCAGCAAACCTGAAGACTATGAATGTCTATTTACCTAGTTGGGTTTCACAATGGTTTCGCTAAAATAATTCCCTAAAATTGTCGAATTTATTTCTGATTTAAATAGCATTAATTGCATTCCTAAAGTAGGTTACTTACTGTAGGATTGCTGCTACAGGAATAGTAATCAAGTGTGTTTATTAAAATGTTCATAGTTTATTATGAAATAAACAAATTTGTGGCATTTGATATAATGAACAAGAATATACAACGGTGTATTTATCCTCCATAACAATAACACAAGCATTTTAAATGTACATTATTTTCTTCATATTCATTAAGCGTAAAATAATGCTTCACTTTAAGCTACTAAATTT